ACATATCTCCAAAACCTGGAGCACACTTTCGCCAATGGTTCACATCACCATATATGCACATACACAAAAGCACTAATGACGAAATGACCATTTCCACAAATCTGCAAGGTGGCTTTTCTGCAAAGTTATTTTCCAAACAACAGGTCTCGCTTACAGACTAATTTCCTCACTCATTGTGTTTTATGTCTTCACCCCACTCCCTTCTTTACTAATGACAGCTGCCTGGGGGTTCCATGCAACCTGAGGGTTTGTTCGATGTGGGACAAGCACACAATAATTGTTGGGGGAAAAGGTAGTTTTGTCGTACTCGCATGCCTTCAGTGAAAGTGGTAAAAACACAGAGAGCAAGAAAAGAAGTCTGTGCACGAGAGTTGTTGGTTGAAAAACAACCATGCAGGAAACCCACCTAGCTGATTTCTGCAAATAGTCAGCTAAATCACAAAAGCTGTTTGAAAATATCACTTTACTCTCCTCCTCAAGTTCTTTCCAACTTCACTACAAAGAGGCCATAAGAGTTAGTCAAGATTGCATATGCAGTAGTGCTGCTTAGTCAACAATAAGAACATTTCACAAGAATTATGATACAAACTCTACAGTCCATCACCAGAAGTTTCAAGTACATTATTCTTCACAGTACAGTAGAGAAATATTACAGCTAACAATGCCTTTGCCGACAATGGTAGACTACTGGACACTAGCAGTCAAATGGCACAGAAATGATTGTTAGAGATGCTCATCACAGCTCCCTTATTGATTGATGATCGGTCGAGTTATCTTGCATCCAAAAGCAACACTGTGGCCATGTAAGTATGATAGTCAGTGGCTACAGGTTAATTGAAACCACCTGGAGCCACACTAAAATTTTGTGGGGCTAACCTTTCCAAGTTAGCCCTACAAAAAATGGTCACTCAGTATTCCAGCCTGCACTTTTATTCTCTACAGCAGAACCAGACAACTGAAACACGAAATCACCCTGATGTGTGAAACATGGCAGCAATGCACAAGTGCAATGCAAAAGCACCAATCCTTATTTTTCTTTTTCCAAATCATTACTGAAAATAGTTATTTGCTACATTCAAGGAAAAAGTTACTAAATGTAGAAGAAAAGTAGACAAGAAAAACAAGCTGGTTACTAAGCTCTAGTGCAGAATGTTGAATTTAAACCAGCAAGTGCACAAACATAAAATTTGCTTTACCACTGCTGAAAATACAAATTTGTGAGGAAATGCTACCAACATGGATCAGACAGTGTGCAAAATAAAAGGTGTGCTGACATCATCTTAAGGAGGCTACATTAACTGCAGTGTACGCTCCATATAGCATAGAATACTTTCAATGTATCACGATTGACAGCAGATGGGTAAAACGTAATTTATATCAATTATAAGGTCTAGAAATACAATGAGACTTAATTCTCTGTGCTTGTAATCATGGTAATCATAACGTTACCTTTAACAACAACATAGCATGGCTAACTATTCTACAGCACATTACTTCTTTAGTTCAGAATGTCTGCACAAGCTTTAGGTGGCTTTGGGATACTTTTTTCAACTTTTTGCAAATGCTTTCTAAAATATCCTATTGATTGATTGATTTGTGGGGTTTAACGTCCCAAAACCACAATATGATTATGAGAGACGCCGTAGTGGAGGGCTCCGGAAATTTAGACCACCTGGGGTTCTTTAACGTGCTAAAATATCCTATTACAGCAAACAAATGTATCTCAATATCTGTACATTAGTCTTCCAGCATTTGTATTTCGATATCTGTAATCCGGAATACTTTTTCGAGTATCTCTGCCCAGCCCTGGTAAGAGGACCCTACGCCACAGACATAAAATTATCCACGAAACTGTGGGTGGCTTGTGCTGACATTCTGCACAAGGGCCATTTACAGATCGATTTGAGCCCTCTGCATAAACTATATAATTTATTCTAGTGCTTTAAAGCTGCAAATCGCTGCAGGTTGCTGCAACTCAGCCAAATACGTTTCCAACTACCCATTTACAGAACAACGTGCTCTTGTAACGAGTCAGAGAGGCTGCTAATCTGATTGGCTGTAGAATACGTGGAAGTAAGATTGGCTGGCAGAGTGGCGGTACCCGTCGGAGCCGATATCAACCACTGCCTGATATTGATTTCTGTTGCGAGACAGCATGCGCGCAGCAAGGCAGACTGTGTGATGGCCTCCGAGACTGCGCGGGACCTGTTGGCGTGTGATCTCGGATGTCTAGACAGGGAGAGGGTCAAATCGTCGAGTGCGCTCATAAAAGCTCTGCGATTGCCAGCGATCCCAGCATGCCTCATGAATTCAGGAGATAAGGAACAGGTGAGGAAGAGGTTATACATTTTTACGTAACCATTTAATTATCCGTAATGGCCTTAGTACACAGCGAGTGGCTAAATGTATGGTGCGAATCGTTTGATAATGCTTTAGCCTGAATTCTGAAAAACTTCAAAAAAGTGTTTCGGGGTCCCTTTAACAGGTAGCGAATTAGTAGGCAAGGCTCGCAATATTGCTTTCATGATACGCCACCAGCGGCATCAGCACTTTACTACATTAGAGTTAGTGTATATGCTACCTTTGATAGCATATACAGTAACTCGATACTACATGGGACATTCTGTGCATGAAAGGAACCATATTTCATGCTTCCACTTTTTCTTGTTCTTTCACCAAATGGTGACATGCCTTTGCTTTGCTTAGCACAAAATAAGTGTCCCTTTCCCATTTGCAAACACGTGTGGTCATTTCTGACAATGAAGTAAAAAGACAACTGCATCCAGTACAGTATCGCGATATACGGTAATCAATACATAGTGAAGGTATTTCTTTGAGATAAAAATACATTTTTTAAATGAACCTCGATACAGAAATACAGATATTCGATCGTATCTATGTGATATCATGATACAACATTGCCAGCCCTAATTTTTACTCACACTACAGACTTATCTGCCCCTGCTGGTGAGAATCACAAAATTGAGAATGGGGCGATAGACATTGTGCAATATTACATGTATTACTGAGGACATCGCCATGCATAATGCAGCCTGTATCATAGTTCAGGAGACTGTACAGAAAGTAAGACTTGAAAGATCATTACCCAAGAATTTGGCATTTACACTTCTTTAAGGGGCAATGTGGGTCGAAAACACTAGTTTTCCAGAAAAATTACCAATTTTTTTGTTTTCATGTCTTTTGATAAAATTAGTGCCTCTACTGTTCTGAAAAAAGAAAAATCCATGTTGAGACTCAACTAAAAATACTTTAAAATTGCGTCTAAAAAGCACAAGGTAGCCGTTAAAAGGCTGAAACTGTGCAGTCTTCGAGCAGCTTGCCGCTCATAACGCGCCATCACTCGCCATTTCGATCAAAAGGCTAAGAGTCGAGCCTCACTATTTAAATAATGACAGTGTCTTGTGCTGCTGCAGCACAACAAATAATAAAAAGAAGCATGCTTTTGCCGTGTTTGTTGAGTGCCGTGACTGGCTTTCAATAACGTGGTACGGATCGGATGCCACCATTGGCCGCCGTGTGCCTGTATGTGCTGTGAAGCCTGCTTGCAGGGTCCGTGTCTCGTCGAGCAGCACAGCTGAACAACGCTTTTCTCAAGTGTTTATCTCCATTATAGGTGAAGAATGCCGTAGCTTGCACAATAGCTACGCTGTCAATGTGAAAGCTGTTGTGGCAGTGTGCTCTGTAGGAATGGGCTGTGAGCACTTTGTCCGATTTGCGGCGATTCTTGGCTTGCAAAAGCCAATGCATCAAAGTCATTCACAGCCATCAGCCAGAAAGTCTGTGATGTGGCAATGGATGCTACCTGTGCCAATAATGTGAGGTTGAGGGAGCTCACAGTGAGGGAAGTTCGCAGGGACGACATTGCCGTTTTGTACGACGGTACATGGCAAAAACGCGGCCACAGAGTCACCGTGGCATTAGCATTGTTGTGTCCCTTGACACTGGCCTTAGTTTAGATTTCCAAGTCCTGTCGAACTGCTCCATAGCTTGCCGTTGGCACAAGGCTCTGCCAGATGAAGTGGAAGAAGTTTGGCAAGTGTTTCATGGCCCTGTCTGAGAGGGAATGTCTTGTCAGGAGTCAGCTCGAAAGAGCCGTGAGGCACAGACTTATGATCCTGGCACTTTTGAGTGGCAGTGGCCACTACTAGAAGGATTGTTCCTTTTGGTGTGCAAATTTGATCGTATTCAATGACATCTTTCATAACTAAAAATTTTAACTTTAAAACTCGTTTTCTCAAAACAAGGATTTTGCCATTTTTTTTCCAATGCCCCCCCCCCCCCCCCCCCCCCCCTTTGCGAGTACTTCTGGTGCTCGGATCTGCATACTTGTAGCTTGTAGTGCTCGGATCTGCATGAAATATTTCCGAAACTTTTCCAAAGTATTACAGATGCAATCATCTCGTTTATATTTCAATATTTTCAATATAATAAAAAATTCTATGCAAATCTTTACTAGAGAAGAAAAACATAGACTTCTTTACATGTATTATTTCTCACGTCTATTATATGTACTGTCTGCACTTTCTAATTAGTTATTTGCATTCTACACTTTATTTGAAACATTATCAGTAATGAATGGTGAAAAATCATGGAAGTTTAGTGATGAAAAGAGGAAAGCAAAATGTTTTCAGTTTGTCGTGTTGCAGAGCTAAAAGCATGCAACTTGCAAAAACACCAATTAAACATTTGAGATCACCATAAAACGTTCTATAAACAGCTCAACTTTCATTGCTCTAGAGTGAATACTGAAAAAAAAAAGTCTTCAAGTTGCATCTTCCCTAAACTAAACAAAAGAGTAGCATACGACACATTTTGAACTTTTTCAATACAAAAATTGATACATATTTCTGACATCAGACTTTACTGTAGCAAATTTCTGGCTGTCAATGGCAACTCAACAATGAAACCTTGAGCAAGAATGTATCCATGTGCATTCTATATATGTAAAAGAACTAGTCATAAGAAACAAAGTCCAACTCTTCATTTCACTTCAAACGTTTATTCTTGAGATTTGAAAAAAAGAAGTTTTGAGGTGCATAAGTGGCAAAGACTTAAATTTACCTTTCATAATTGCCAATCAATGAAATTATATGCAACCATCGATCTATTTTGAACAAACACTTATAATGATGTGCGTGTGACAAGAGCCTCAATGACGTCTGCCCTTGCGCTCCAATTTCTTCTGCTTTTTGTCGTCCACCTCTGGAGGGGCTGGCTGAAAGACCCACGGTGCCAAGACATTCACCCAGAGTAAGTAGAATGCATATGCAGGAGCCTGCAGTAAATAAATTTATTGGTATTAAATGCTTATTAGATGGGAGCAAGAAAAAAGATGACAATATCAAGTAATATCCAAACTTTCCAAGTCAAGGTATACTAGTCCCAATGAACATCACATATTGCTACATGAGTCTAGTCAAGTGAACTCATCGTGGCCCTGTGTAAGTATGGAAGTACAGTGAGCCTCATATGTCACTGGGAGAGCTGTCAGCTTTGATAACCAGTAATTATAGTTGCCAACTCAAAGAACAAGTAAAAAAAAGTATTTAAAAAATACTGGTGCTAAAACAAGTGTCCTTAAATTTCAATCAGATTTAACAAGCACACTATCTGCACTGTGCAGTAAACAGTACTTCGTCATATCAAAAGAATCATGGGCACCAGGATACACAATCTTCAGCCAACTATCATAGAAAGCTGATAGGCTCTAAAGTTAAGCAATGCTTAAGAAAAATGAGCTTATTTCACTCAAGAAAGGTGTACTTGAGCAAATGCCACTCTTATGGTTCAAGGTGAAGTCAATGCTCACAGTACATAATTAATATTGAATAATAGCACAATCTATCACTGCATGATTCCCTTGAAGCATGAAAGCCTAGCTTCTTTCTAAGGAAAGACGGCACCATTACAGTTCATTTATGATGACTGCTGAGCATCTAGGAGGTATCAGAGGCCATGAAGTATGCCGTTTCCAAGGGCGAGGTTGTGGATCAGATTCCAGCTTGTAATGACCATATTTTTGTGGCAGCCGAATACAGACACAGATTTCTAATCGACCAGAACCAAGAAAACCAATTAATTCCCAACAGCCACTGCAGCCATTCTCGTTCATTTCATGCTACCAGTATGCAGTATCACACGTGTGAGGTCAAACGCCAACTTATGCTGAATGCGTTTTCTGCGGTTTTGTTTGTAAGCTCTTCAAGCCGGTTGTCATGTTTTTTGAGACATACGAAATCTGAATTGATAGATGCAAACAGAAAGCTAATGCAAAAAGTCTTGCCTAGGTGCAGTTATGGACCACCTTTTATCAGTAAAAGTTCATTAAAAAAATCTTTTTTCTTCGCTACTTCATGTGAAAGGTACAAATACATCGGTGTATACAAAGCCAGTTATAAAAGTAGCACTTCTGGTAAAACAATTTTTGTTTTGTCACGCAACATTATTTAATGGTATCACAAAGCTTGCGAGGCTGTGTTCATGAGCATTTCCGCGTGAATGACTTGCACACAGCACCAGCAATGCAGTGTACAAAACAGGGCTTACAAAACAGGCAGAGCATACTGAACGAAAATCACATTTCTTAGGCTAACATGAGCGATTCAGAACGAGTGGACGATTGACTTCTGGTGTAACGTGTATTTACAATTACACAGTGTATACAAGGGCTGCGCTGACAAAAAATGATGCACATGTGTGTGTGTCGGGAAGAGGGAGAGGAATAAGTGTGTGGGTGGGTCGACATGTGTGTTGTTACACCAGGGTTATGCGTAGAATCTTGACACAAGATGCGGACTATGAAAAGTATTTTTAAAACAAGAAGTTCCTCTTTAACTTGTAAAAAAGAAACCAGATTCACTTCTAAAGCCACTTTATCTTCAAAAATCTGGCATTCAGTTATGCTCAAGCAAAAATGTAAATCTTTGAAGTTCACGCATTCAGTTATGCTTATGCAAAAATGCAAAGCCATAAAAATTTTATGTAACACCTATTCCACCACATTGCCACCCTTTCCATTCTGTATGTGCACACACGAGCTTGGTTTACCTTATCACCACACCTGCAGCCATTCGTTTAGTCTGTATACATGTTGTCAGGCCCAATAACCAATGAGTGGCCGACATTTTGCAATGATCTGCTATCTTCTACTTTGACTACCAGTTTTGGCCTGTTGACCCAAATAGTGCTGCATCACTGCACACTTGCCATCAAAGTTACAGTTCAGTGCTGTACTGATGAAAATCTATTCAGAGTGGCTGCCCAACTAACATAAAAATGAGAAACCATGTCACTAATGAAAATGAGAGCATGGAGCACAACCTAGCTGAATGATGCGATCTTTACAGCTGCCATTTATTATGCTACAAAGTGCAGATATGCAACAGTCTAGTCAGACACAGTGCCTGTAATATAACTGCACACAGTTATTTCCGCAAGTTATATACAGATTTTTTTTTTCCAATCTGCTGTAATTCGAGGTACAAAATATACATGGCGAAATAAGAAATTATACATTTCAAAATTTAGCATATTTAGCTCACATCACCCACTTCAAAGCTTACGAAAAAGTAATCAGACTGTGCAGGAAATGTGCACACTTCATTCAGGTGTTGTTTTAACGCAGTGTGGACTGCTCTTCATAAGGTAGTTCGATGGCAAAGCGGCCGCGCGATGCAGTGAAACTACCTTTTCCAGCAGTTTACATTTTTTTTTTTTTTGTTCACTTCTAACACTTCGAAACTTGGAAAGCTTTAAACATGAGCCTAAGTGAATTCGAAAATTTACTCAAGTCAGTAAATCCAGGAGAAGCTGAAATTTCTGCTGATTTTCCTTGACCCTTTCTACAACAGAGAGGTATATATGTCCTACTTTCTCTTCTGCATTAAAGCTTTTCTTCAACATCAGCTATTGCAATTAGTGCAATGCTAAGTGGCTACAATCTCAGCTAAGTCTATTCAAGCTAGAGAAAAATTCTTTTGCTGCAGCTTCCAAAGGTGGCAGTAGAGCCTTAATGTCTTTGAAATTTGTTCCATCTTTTACGGAAGCTTCAGAGTTTTCGTCCCAGTCTGGTTTAAAAAAACTGACATTTAGAATGATAGATATTCTTGTATTTTCCTAGTTTTCTAGAAAGGCCATTTCAGCTCCCAGTCATCTCGTCTTTATGTAGATTTGCGCAATAGATTGGTTTAAAAGATGCATCGAAAAACAGCCCACAACGAAATTGCCACGCTATTTGTTAAGCCCAATTCTGGATAACAGTACATGGTGTAGTGGGGAATTCGCAAGGCAATAACTAGTGGGACCATCGCTGAGTGCGAAGCGTGAGCGGGAGCACGAGCTGTAGACGCTGGACTGCCCGAGCATTTGTTTCCGTACCGGCTGTCTGCCTTTTACCTGGCGTCACTATTAAACCCCCTTGCAAAGTGGTGGAAGTGTGCTGGGTACGCAAACCTGGAACTTCGAAGCCGGAAGCTGCCCACTGCACCAGCAATGCCTGATCAGACGACCGAGCAAGGCACCACCCAGCAAAGCACGGCCCAATCTCAGCTGGTCATCGTGCCTACCACCCTGCGCCAACGAGATCCACCCTTCTTCAGCGGCGGACCAAGATGTGGAGGACTGGTTGCTGCTGTTTGAAAAGGTGAGCGCCGCCAACAAGTGGGACGACCCCTCGAAATTGGAGTATGTCCCATTTTATCTCAGAGACGTCGCCAGCCTGTGGTCAAAACCACCGTACTGAATTTATCACTTGGGCCGGTTTCAAGACCACCCTCGCAGCTGTGTTCGATCGCCCCGCAGTGCGCAAGCTGCATGCTGAGCAGCGCCTACGCGGACGTGCACAAAGACAGGGCGAAAACTTCACTAGCTATATTGAAGATGTAATCGATTTATGCCGGCGCTTCAACCCTGAGATGACCGAACATGAGAAGATCAGGCATATCTTGAAAGGCATAGACGATGATGCCTATCAAATGTTGCTGGCAAAGGGCCCAAGTACTGTATCCGAACTTGTGACCTTGTGCCAGAGCTTGGAAGAGATTCGGAAACAACGTGCAGCAGTTCGGAGGTCGACGACTGCAGACGACTCTCTCGCTGCCTCGGCCGTCGGTGATGACAGCTCCCTGCTGGAGCAGATAAAAGAATATGTACGCGAAGAGGTCGCACGACAGCTTTCATGTCTCTCGTATGTGCCGACCACCGAAGCACCAACGAACCGCCTAACGCCGACAATCAGACAGGCTATTCAGGAGCAGGTCTTCGAGGCTTTGCCATTACCTACGCCTGCCTCTCCACCAACGCCTGTTGCCGCGCCACTGACTTATGCGGCCGTCGCGGCAATGCCGCCATCTCGTCTGCCAATGTATACGCCACAACCTGTGTGACCGTCCACCACGCCGTTTCCCGCTACACAGCAACACGCCGGAAATCCTTGGCGCACTGCTGACAACCGGCCCATATGTTACTTTTGCGGAATTCCAGGTCACGTTGCACGTCTATGTCGTCGGCGCTTCACAGTTAACGCACCAAGATATCTTGACTATTCGTTCCGGCCTCCATACCACGCGCCTCACGTACCCCCTGAAGTTCACGAACGCGATGCGCAAACTGCTTCCGGCGCCCGAAAATTCGCTTCTAGACGTTCTACTTCCCGCTCGCCTTCACCTTCAACAAGTCGTCGTTCTGTATCGCCTATGCGTCGACGACCCACCCCCATTGAGACGGAAAACTAACTGCCGCAGCTCCGGAGGCACGAGCTGCGTCATCGTCTAATCGTTTAAGTCCTCGCCTGTCTCCCACCAATCTTATCGATGTAATCGTCGAAGGTGTACGAACACTCGCACTCATTGATACCGGTGCCGCGATATCTGTGATTAGCCAAAGACTCTGCCGCTCTCTTCGTAAAGTGACGATGCTTTCTCCCGTGGTTTCTCTTAGTACTGCGAGCGCCCAACAAATTGAGCCCGTCGCGGCATGTACAGCAAAAGTGGTTATCCGAGACGTGTTGTACATCATTGAATTTCACGTGCTGGCTTCATGTTCCCACGATGTCATCCTAGGATGGGATTTTTTATCACGTCATCACGCCGTCGTGGACTGCGCTCGGGCCGAAGTGGAGCTGTTACCGTTTCATGATGCGCCTTCTGTTAATGCGGCCGTATCTAGTGTGGCTAACCTTGTCGTCGCGACGGACATAGACCTTCCTCCTTTCAGCGCCCAGTTTGTCCCTGCCTGCTGTGCTTCACTTTCTGACGCTACCGTCCTATTCACGCCATC